CACAGAATTTCGACTGCAACGCGCTACATTTAATTCAACCAATCAGCTAGCTATACTCGATTCGTTACCCTTTTTTTCTGTTGGGCCGTATTCAAAGACTATAAAAATAATATAGACTAAAAGACAAAAATATTTTATTTTTTCCAGTAGTGTAGGTACGTAAAAGGGTTTATTATATTACTGTCCTAATTACATTACAATATTTGAATTGTTTTAGCTATAATATTCCAAATAGTTTTTATAATGCCTTCTCCATTTCTCCATTTATTTTCCTCATATCGTAAGCTCGATCGGTTAACATTACTGCAAGCTCTTCTGACGTAGTTGTTTAAAATATTTCATATTTTCTTTCTTTGCAGAACTGCATAAATTGAAACTAGGTCGATGCTTTCTTCGTTCAACATATTTGAAGAGAATTTTTGCTGGAGCACATTATAAGCACATTTCAGTTAAAACTTTTTCTTTATATTCGGTTTGATGTTAAAATGACATTTTATTTTGAGGATTGGGGAAATAATTTAATCTAATTTGTTGTCATTAGAGACAACTCTACTTGGTCAGTCTTTTCAGAAAGATGCAAAAAGTATAAACATGTTGGTACCGTCGTTATAACTTCTTTCCTACCTATGAAATTTAATTTTTTCTCCACTTAAACGTCTCTTTACGCAATTTATCTCAGAACACGATTGCACCATATTTAGTTTTTACGAATCTTTCACATACACTAACTAAATCACACAAAAATTCAAGAAATCAATCAATAATGTCAATACATGACATTTACTTCAAAGTTTGTTTGCAGCATTTTGTACCGGTATACCCGTGTATCATTATTTATTTTACCGGTATTTGCCTCAACTAGCTTCATCTGCCTTGCACACATCAGCGCGATTGACTTCTCTTTCTAGGGCCAGTCCATAGTTTACTAGATCTATGATCTAAAGACAACTTACGTAATAATTAAAACTAATGTTAGAAAATTGTCAATTAATCAACTGTCAAACCTGATTTGATGTGTCAAATCAATGATCTCCTTTACTACGTCGCAATTTGTCTCCACTGACCTTAATAGCCATTCATTAGAATATCTCAAAAAGTGGCATGTTTAAAAGTTGGATATATATGTATATACTATATTGAAAGCTCGTAACCCTTTTAGGCAACAAAATTGAACAAAGGTCTAAAAATTTTCATCCACAGAAGCCAATCATTTCTGGTCTGTATTTTTAATATGTATAGTCCGTATGATATTTGTTGAGATAGAATTCCAAGAAGACCCATGCACCACTTTCTTGGAATTAATCGCAATTACACCCGAGGTAGAGCGACATCGGCGGAAAATTTCAAAGCCGCCCCTGCCGCAGTAAACTGCTACAGTAGTTCCGATAACAGGACTTGGCTATTGGCTATTATTTTGCTTGGAATCCTATCTCAACAAATATTGTACGGACTATACCTATTTCATTTCTCTACTCGGTAAATATCAAAAATCTAATTATGCTTAAAAAAGTAAGGACGGGTGATAATTTGTAAATAATGCATTTTTACTTTTTCAACTCGTCTCTTTCTTCATTCTTGACTCTCTACTGCCAAAGAAAGAGAAGAAAACTGTAGTATGAGATTTTAATTGTACTTCATATTCTATAAAGTTCCTAGACATTAATAAAGTATCGCAATCAACTGCTATTTGGGGGGGAAATCCATATTGACAACCTTCAAATATAAGGTTAAATTTTCGATACATTTTTACGCAATTATTAATTTTCACATAGGTATTTTGAAGAATTCATTACGCAATACCTCAATATTTCCATCTATTATACTACAACAATTAAATTATAGTAGTTTTTTATATAAAGAGCATAAGTTGACAATATGTCAAGCTGCCAAAAACATTGATTGAGGTACTTGGTCAATCTAGTACTTTAATAGTTTAATACCTCACAAGTGTCAGCCAAATTACTTTAACTTTTACGTATTTTTCAACTGCTAGTTAAATAATAATTTTATACATAAATTAGAAAAGATGATAAATACCTCAGTGTACCATTATTCCATGGCTAGAAATTGGCCTCAATGATTTGGGATCGAGGGGGATTATCCCTCTTTATCCTGCCTCATCTCTTGTAGGCCTGGACAGCCTTCGTAGGATCAACAGTTGCTTTGGTGGCTATATCTTAATTTTTTGTATAAATATCACGTGATACATAAATTGAAAATATACACGTAGATTTCAAAAATCGAAAATATCACATAATCATGTGCATTCTACCCAAAAAAAGCTGAAAAGAATCTGTATGCAAGTAAAGAATATTTTCTGAAATAGAATAATTATGTAATACATTAATAAATACTAAAAATTATAAATTCCCTATTTCTGAATCAAGATATCGAGATGGGGTTTTTGCCGTCAATTTTTCTTAACAGACACACATATTATGCCTATATCCTTGGAAAATCCCTAAATGTTAGAAATTGGCTCACCCTCTATACAACGTGGTTGATGGAAAATTATACAAAATTTCAATAATTACGTGCGTAATCAAGGGGCACGACACCGTCCTCTGCCCGCCCCCTTACACTAAACCGTAGAAAAATTGAAAAGGTAAAGATATGTTCTCATTAATTATATGAATTCCTGGAAATAATAATAAATATATATTCTTCTATAACTGCTTATTTAAACTAACAAAATATAACTGATTCAATATAAGAGAAATGTGTATAATGTATCTCTAGTGTCTATCGATTTAGGACATTATGGATTTGGTGTATAGGTTCATGGTTAATAGGTATTAAATTGATGAGTTGATAAGTTCTGGGTTAATGAATTTAGGATTTGAGTTTAATGAATTTAGGATTTGAGTTTAAGAATAATGGATATGGAGCTTTGGGTCAAAGTTAGTGATTTTTTTGTTTTATAGTTTAAGGGCATATGGCCAAAGATTTAGAGTCATGGGTTAAAGGTCTATGGTTTATGGAATATGCATTTATGGATTTAGGATTTATGAGTTAAGGGGCGAGGGTTAATTTTTTGTGTTATGGGTTAGGAACGAAGATTTAGGGTTCATGTATTAAAGGTCTATGGACTCAAGCAATATGAGTTTATGGGTTCAATTCAGGGTTTAACTGTTGTCGAGTTGTCTATGGTTTAGGGTTTAAAAGTTCAAAATTAATACATGCGAAAGTACAATATGCCTTCAATTCGCGTATAAAAAGTGTGAATTTACGTCTTCCTAACGTTATAAGAAATGTATCTATTTCACATGCTCATTTTCTGCTGTGATCCGCAAAAGTGCAATTCCTGAAAAGAATTAAAAAAAAATAAGCAAAATTCGTCTACATGCTGGTTGTTGAGCGAACTTTGACGCGAGAAATGTGGATTTGCATTGTATGCCGCGCAGCACTTCAAATATGTATTCCACTGCGACACTGCTGCACGGTACTATCACAAGTAACGAGCGTTCAAATAAAAACGTGGTCAAGTTGGTTCTGAAAATTTGGACGTAGGGCGTAGCGTATAGCAAATGAACTTAAAACGTCATCTGTCAAGCCGCTATATCGCCGCTATCAATTTGAATATTTTCGTTTTAAAAAGCGTTTAAAATGGTGTTTTCTCAAGAACAAAAAGTGTTTATCATAGAGTCCTACTTTAGAAATGGACGCAAGATTGATGGAATATGGAAGTATTCTATTGAGGAATGTTTCATAGAATTTCAAAATCAATTTCCCGGCGTTGTTGAGTACAAAATTTTTCAAAGTGCAGTTCAGCGTTGTGTTAATGTTTTTCGTGAAACGGGCAGTGTAACAAGAAAAGAAGGAAGCGGCCGACCTAAAAAGCGGACTGAAGAATTAAAAGAAAATGTCCAACAAATAATGGAAAATGCGCCAAGAACTTCTGTACGTGTTTTATCACAAATGGTGGGAGTATCAGTCGGTACCTGCCACACAGTGTTAAAAAAGATTTGCGTTTGAGCTCCTTTAATTGTTTGTTATTGTTATCACGATTATTCTTTAAAATAAAGTTATATAGTCATTAACGTTATTGAAACTGACAGCTGCTATACAGCTCGTTGAGAAATGAGGTAAGTTGGTCGCTATAAGCTACTCCCTACGTCCAATGTGTCAGAGCCAACTTCGACCACGTTTTTATTTGAACGCTCGATATGTCACCGGCATTACTTGTATCACGTTTTCTATTTTCCTCTAATTCCTTCCTTATTCGTTTAATGGACTCACATTATTTTAATTGGCCTTTACCTGTAAAAACATTTTTATTCAAAAGTTCTATTTCTTAATTTGTTCTTTCACTTTTACCGTTATTTTTTCATAAATATTTTCCATTTTTGTTTATTTTTGGTGTATCTTTTTAATTTTTTTGTAGAATAAACATCCTAAAAGCTCGTTGTTTTCTTTTTTTTTTCAACATATTTCCATTACTTTTAATACCTACTTAAATATTTAATTGTTGCCTTTCTTAACCTAATCATAATTATGTTTGTGCTTCTCCTCATTTTGTCGTTAAATTTTTCTATATTTTCTTAATTTCATATTTATTTTCTTATCATTAGAGAAAAATATAAATTACGTCCACATTGCATACTGTCTGGAATATATAATTTGTTTATTCTGAGAATCAAATATTGGTAGAATTGTTACTAGTGTATTCAATACCATTATACAGAGCCTTCATAAATATTTACAAGTCACGTGACTGCCGAGTTTAGGCAACCAACATTGCAGGGCTGGTACTGGTAACGAAAAATCTCTAAATCTTGACGTCACAATGAACAATGACAAACCGTTACGTCTAATGGCTGACTGGTTGAATATAATCTCGTAAAAAATTACACTAATCACAGCCGGTGAAACAAAATGTTTTTTATTGTAATTTTACTTATTTCATTGCCAACGTAAAGGAAATAAAATTACTGTTCTAAACAAAATGACTGCTCACGTGGTTTGTTTTATGAAAGCTCTGTACAATATGTTGTTTTCAGGTCTTGCCGAAATGACTCGCGACTACAAGTCAGAACCAGAACAAACCGAACCTAAAGAACTTGTAAGTCGAAGAACGGGAACCCAACTTCCCAGGCCTCTTTCACCTACTGAAAGTGATCAAACACAAAATTCACCTACCTCCGTTCAAAACTTGAGAGTTTGTAAATCACCTACGGAAAGGGACAGAGAACGAGATAGAGAGAGAGATAGAGACAGAGAAGGAAAAAGACCTTCGTCGGTGGAGAACATAACTCCACCGATTTCAAGTGATTGTGGAGTCAGTGATATTGTGCACACTAGTAATAATATGACAACTACATGTTCTTTAGTTAATCCTCCTGTTATTTGTAGTAGATTGCCATCGCCACTTAATTGTGATGCTCTGCCAGGTCCTTCGAATATGCCTCCAGTTCAACAAGTGCCTCTGGTAATAATTACTGAAAGATATTTTTTTAATTTTAAATTTGTGTGTTTTTAGAGTCTTAAGAAAGAAGTTGATTGGCCTGGAGCAGAAGATAAGAATACAGGAGAAGGTTCATCATCTGAATATTCGAGGCATCCTCATGACTCCGTAAGTATGATTAGTAATTTTTATTTATTTAACGGTTATGCATGAATTTTGTCTCTCTTTCAAACTCAATCAAAATATTTTATCGCTTTATGGCCACGGTAGCGTAGTCGGTCGAGAGTGCGGTGGCAAGCATTTCTCGGCCCGGCTTCCTATCCGATCCCTGGCGTCGCGGTCGGCACTGGCAATGTCGATGGATAATGGGTGTTTGTCCGCGTTTTTTCAAGTGTAACCCCCTTTCGCACAGCCTTTGGCTTTGGATTTGGAAGAGACAATCATTTCTGTGGTTTGTTTTATGTATTTATGTTTCAATGTTTGACCATTTCTGACCACTATATCTCGAATGAGAGAAAAGATAAAATAAAATAACTCGCAAAATCGTACTTGTTAAGTGCTATTACAAAAAACAATATGTTGCGGCCGAAATAATCTTATTAGCAATGTTCACACGTAGTTAGAATACATTAGATTACAAAAGTGAATTTTATTCAGTTCAATTTGCTTGCAGCAAACCTACCAGAAGCCTTCAAGAACAAACCGATTGATTGCAAATTTGTACGCCGTGATTAAGATTTATTATAGACATATATATANCGAAGTAATTTCCATTTTCCTGTAAGCATAGTCTAATTCTACGATTAAAGTTGCGACGAACTCTTGAAAAAATATATGTCATTCTTTACTTCCTTAGCATATATATAAATTTATTTAACTACTTTTAACCACTTTAAAAAGGTATAATTGTAACAAGTCAAAATATACAGGATGTTCTCAAAGTTGAGTCATTTATTTTAACAGCTGGTAGGACTCGTAAAAATAAGTCGATTTAATAAGTTTCAATTTATAAGAGTTTATTCAACAATATTTACAATAATTTTGTTTTTTGTTTATCCACATTGATATTAAATACGCAGTTTGAGCAAGTACTAAAATTAAATAAACCACTGAAACTGCTATTAACCTCATTCTTGGAGCAATTCTCAAAGCAGTCCAACACGTTTTCATTAATAGTTATACTATTTTCAGATGTTGTGAAATCAGAAATGACAATGGCTTATCAATTAGCATTATCAACTTTCAGTATTCATTTCGCAATATTTTCTTTATTCCAAAGTGAGTCTTCAATGTAGCCTTCCGCCACAGTGCCCGATCTCCCTCCTCCGTGTCTTTTAAGACTAGTGAGGTAACCACCGCCGTCAACTAAAAGGATAGCAGACGTTCGTCGTAATGCGTGTCCACTATACTCTTTCCAGTTGTCTAGCTTCAAAAATGTTGCCACTTCTTGCGAGACGGTACTGATTTTATGAATACCAACCACCATTAGATGATACGTTCCGCTAACTAATCTGAAAAATAATCGACATTCTACCAATCCGGGTGGACGTAAAGCAACATATTAAATACAACAACTTAAATAATTGTCTCCCAACACAGTAAAAGTACGTGGTCTCTTTGTTTTGGTATAATATGAATAAATTATGACAAGCACTTAATAAGTAATCTAATAAATAAATCAAGTAGTAATAAATAGATAAAGATAAATGAAATACACAAAAATAAGTAAATACTTTACTCACCTGATTTTTATAGTATAGGTACCTGTATGCCATAGTTGAAATCTAGTTGTGGCTAATCTTCGAGTGCTAATTAAAATGCGTTTAAAATTTCTGGTTCTGTGTTTCTCACTCTCTAAGTTGGTTCACATCCAATATTAGCGCACCCGTGACTTCTTAAATGTTGAGCAAATCTTATAAACGTTTTCTTCTTCGATATTTGTTGGTCGGGATAATTTATTTATTTATTTAGATACAATATCCAACGGGCAATGCCCAATTACAGGATAAGGTTACAAACTAAAAAGAAAGTAATAAAAATAGGCCAAATAGATAAAATAATAATAACAAATACCACAAAATAAAATATCTAAAACAAAGAGGTAGCAGACAAATAATATTAAAAAGCTATTATACATACAAACAAATGCAAAACATACCTATACAAACATAACATTTAAAGTAACACTTTTTTAGTTTGGGTGATACCGGAACAGAGTATATCGATGCGGGATTCAATTTCTGAACAACCAATAATTATTTGGTGCAGCCGGAGACGCTTTATATAAATTAGTACGATGATGTTTGACCGCGAAAATGTGTAAATGTCGGGTATAAGCTCTAGGAATATGGAAATCAATCATTCGTAATATATCTTCATATACAACCTTATTATAAAAAGAAAATAACAGAATTTAACTTGCGTCTTTAAGATAAACTACTCATATTGAAACGTTTGGAAAATGCTTCCTGAGGAAATCCTTGAGGAAAATACCGGTCATCAATAAAAAATGTAGCCGATTTAAAGAAACGGCGTTGAATTTTCTCAATAGATATTATGTGCGTAATGTAGATACGTGTCCACACTACAGAGGCATACTCAAATTTAGACCTAACAAATTAACAAACAAAAAGTATCAATTTTTGTAAAACTGCACATGTTTCGAACAATAAATCCCCAACTTTGTACCTAGGAATTCATTATCACAATTTCAATATGCTTGACAAAGATAATTTAGGGTCAAAATATGCGCCCTAATATTTAACAAAGTTAGGTCGTTAAAGGGCTACTCAGACTATACTCACTGAATTTGATCACATTGTCGACTAAAAGTCATGACATTACATTTCAGAGGCAGCCTATTAGCAGTGCACCAAGAGTTAATTATATCTAGATTACTTTGAAGATTCATGGCATCAAAAACATTATCAACTGAAGAAAATATTTTTATATAATCGGCATATAACAAATAATGCACATTCAACTGAAAAGTAATATCATTAATAAATAATGCGAACAACAAGGGATCAAGAATAGAACCTTCCGGAACACCTGATGTCTGGGCAAATTCAGTAGATTTATCACCGGAAATTTGAACAAATTGAGTTCTGCCACTAAAATATGAATTAACAGCAACCCGCCCCGGCTTCGCACGGGTAAATATAAAATAGCCTATGTTACTCCGAGGAGATGTAGCTTTCGGTAAAATTGGTTGAGTAGTTTTTAAGTTAAATCGTAACAAACAAAAAATCAATCATCTTTCATCTAATGCGACCCTAATATTAATTTTAAAATAATTCACGATATATCTATACAGGGTGTATTTAAATGGAGGGGCACAAATGATACCAGAGATTGCTTGGGTGAAAATAAGTCGATTTATAACATACATAACATACCTATATCCCAAGTCGCATAATAAAAAAGATACAGGGTGTCAAAGTGAAAAATAAAAAATGGTTCTTCCTTAATAATTTCTATAATTTTAGTCAGAAATGTTTCAAATTTTCAACAGATAGGTTTCTTAATGATGAGAAAAATAATATAATAATGATTTTTGAGTGTCGAGTACGAGGCGCCCTCTGCAGGCAACGTTTTGCATTAAATATGTAGTAACTTTTTTGCCAACCCCCGTATACCGCTTTTAGTAACAAAATATGAAATATTGGACTTTTTTTAACAAAAAAGGGATACTTATTGAAAATGGTTGAAGCCAACCGTTCAAGAGATATTTTTAATTTCATAAATTAGTTTTACGGATTTATACCTCCACGAATACGAAGGTATAAACAGACACTTTTGTTCATAAATTCAGAACGCATTGCCTCACAGTAATTATTAGTTGTGGATCTGTATTTTAAAATTCGACCAACAGGGGACGCAGGAATCAACTGAGACATTATTTTTCCTGTTTTAAATTTACTATTTTCGCATATTGTTTTAGCATGTGTGAATACGCTTGTTGCATAATTTCTATTTAATTGTTTTTTTTTGGTGTCTTTATTAAAAAAACATATTTTCTTGTGAATGTGAAATTATTTAAACCCTGCATTAAAGAAATCTCATGAAATAACAGTTCAGGTGAAAAAATATTGAAAAATACTTACCTATTTATTGTTAGTTTAATAATAATTATTAGAAAAAGAGCAAAACAACTAAAACCAAGAGTCACTTAACAGTCAATAGATAATTTAAGAGAAGTAATTGGCTGACAAAAAAAAAACAAGATTTTTTAAAGGATATTTTCGAAGTAATTTCCATTTTCCTGTAAGCATAGTCTAATTCTACGATTAAAGTTGCGACGAACTCTTGAAAAAATATATGTCATTCTTTACTTCCTTAGCTACTGCAAAAATTCTGTGACGAAGCGTCTCCACACTGTCAATAGGGTTGGAATAAACAACATTTTTTAAGTGACCCCATAAAAAATAATCCATGGGTGTGAGACCCGGTGATCGCACAGGCCATTTGACTGGTGCGTCGTTCCCTCGACCCGTCCATCTCCCAGGAAAATTTAAATTTAACCATTGTCTTACAGCTAATGTACTATGAGCGTACCACATGTGTTCACGGATAGCTAGTGGCACGTCTTCAAGCAATATTGGGAGTTGGTCATATAAAAATCTCAAATATTCCGCTCCGCCGAGACGGCGTGAGGAAGAATAAACGGACCAATAAGATAATCTTCTACGATTCCTGCCGATACATTTAAACTAAAGTTATGTTGAAATTTGCATGTACAAACTTGGTGAGGATTTTCGTCAGACCATCAGTGACTATTGTGATGGTTCACTAAACCATGTCTTTGAAATGACGCTTCATCACCAAACAAAATACTGGATAAAATATTTCTGTTTTCCCTTGAAATGTTCATATACTATTGACAAAAACCTATCCTGTTAGGTAAATCCGCAGCAGTCAATTCCTGCACAGGTTGTAGATGGTAGGGGTATAAAAGATTATCATTGGCAAATTTCCAAATCGTAGTATGTGAAACGTTATACTGTGTCGCCAATTTTCTGGTACTAGTTTCAGAATTCTGATCTTGTAAATTGCCAAGGACAACTTCTTCAAGTTCTACATCGCGAATAAGACGACTTCTGCCAGTACCTTCAGGACGAGATTGAATGTGTCCGTTTTCTCGAAGTCTTCTTTCTACCGCCTCAAAA